AAAGAAAAGGAGTTTTTAGAATCAGCAAATCATTTTGGTTAGGAGCTAGCTGAGAGAAAGATTCATTTAGTATATAGGGAGATAGTTTTGGGTTAATGGGAGGTGTGTCAATAGCTATATTTTTAAGAGGTAGTCAAATTTTAGGGGTCGTCCCCAAAGCTTTAGCACAAGGAGACATCATTGGAAAAACAATTGGAGAGGAACTACAAGTCTCCACAATGTTTACTCGAATGAATGCAATGTTTAACCATGTTGATACCTTCATTGTCTTACCTGGTGGCGTAGGCATATTGGAAGATATTTTTTATATTTCCTATTAGGCCTAACTGCACATTCACCATAAATCCATAGGTCTGTTAAATGTTAATGGTTATTATGATAAGTTGTTGTCTTTTCTTGATCATGCTTATGAATAGAAATTTCTAACATCTTCTACATGACAAATCATAATCTCTATTACTACTACTCAACAATTGATTAACCAACTATAATCTTTCATTCCTGTAATTGAACATTATTTATGTTCTTTTGTTTAAGGTAACAACTAAAGAAAAGAGATAGTATATAATTTGAAAAAAAAAGAGAAAAAAATCTTGATAATAAAAATATAGATAAGTTTGGTTTCATAACCTCCCTAACTTAAGCAATTAAGCCTAAAAGGGTGTTTTAACACCTAACACTCTAAAGTCAATTGACTTGGGAGCTATTGGCCCAACACTTGTTACATAGCTTGAGGAGAAAGCTTAAAAGAATCAAATATTACACTATCTACGTATCAGTATCTGCAACCCGAATTACTAATGTCGTAGAGGTGTCTCAACACCTAATGCTCTAAGACCAACTAGTCTGGGAGTCATTAGCTCGTTACATGGGTTAAAGATGCATTGTTTTAAGTTACATGTATATATTAAAAAAACCAAAAAAAATCCCAACCCAAGAAAGTTAACCTTAAACATTAGAACAAAAATATTATTTTCTTCCAAATAAAGCCCCATAACTATATGTTGATATATTGAGCATAAAAG